ATGTTTTATGTCCAAAGAACCTAAAGGACGAAATAACACCCCATTCTGAAGTCATTTTTTCCCTTATTTTCCCCACATTTTTTTCTCTCTAGCCATTCTACAGACCATCCACTTCCTTATAGTAACTCCCACAATGCTTTGCTATGAGTTTGCTACTTACATTCCTGCTAGTTTACAAACAAGCATACAAACAAACAAGCAAACAAAACTATTGCTTTCCAATGCTGGCAAGGTTCTGACTGAGGAAAACAGTACTTTATTTCTATCTATGCTGATTTCAGGATAAATTTCTATAACCCTTTTGGAAAGTAATTTGGCAAAATGGAATGTGAGCTATAAATGTTTATCGATTTGTTCTCAGTAATCTCAAATATAGGAATACATTCTAAAGGAACAATTCAGAATACAGATATGGAAAGGCATATTTACAAACATGTTCATTGTACTATATTTACATAGTCCCACATTAAAACCTGTATTAGTTTCCTAGAGTTGCTATAAGAAAGGCAACTTTGTCACGGACCAGCTGAGGGGCTTAAAACATCAGAAATGTATACTGTCACAGTTCTGGAGGCTGGAGGTCTAAAATCAAGGTGTCAACAGGGATGATTCTTTCTGAGGAATCTGAGGGAGAATCTGCTCCATGCTTCTTCCTTGGCTTTTGATAATAGCCAGCAAATCCCTGGCTTGTGTGTGCACCTCTCTAGTGTCTGCCTCCATATTCACACGGCATTCTGTGTCCCATGATGTTGATTGGTGATGGAAGAGGCTGGCCTTAGCCTGGATCCTGTTTCTATCAGATGACCTGGCTTGTGGCAGTATCATTAGAGATTATGACTTTGCCAACAGTTTCTGCCATGAGGACCCCTTCCTAGGAGTGGTCCCCCTCCAGTGTCCATGGTAGAGTGAGTCACCATGTCTCTCTTTAGGCCATCAGTTAGTGTCATTATGTTTGGTGTTCATTCTTCCAATCTGCAAACTCTTCAAATAAGATCTGCCTAATCCATAGATTCAACCAGGGCACCTTTGAGTACTAACCCTTTAGTACCACCCAAACAGATGAAAAGTTGTCATTGTGAAGATTTACATTTTAAACTTTGAAATGTAATAGAAATTTTATTGTCACTATAATGCAGTTCTTGGGATTTAAACACATACTTATGGAAAATACCTCGTTTTATAGAATATTTTAATTTCTAATAAAATAAGGAATATTCCAATACATAGCATAATTTGTATGATTGCCCATGCCATTGATAACAAGAGAAGAGAAAAATAGCCTTCAGGGGTCCAGACCAGACTGAAGTGTTCCCCAAGTTGGAAAGGAAACAAAGGAAAAAAATACAATAGGAAAATTCATTATCTTAGTTATTACAAATTTTTTTGACTTATCAATTACAGAGAAAAGATGTAAACAGCACCAGAAAACATCCTTTCAGCAGAGACATCAGTCATAAATGAGATTTCATCATTTATATGCTTGTCCAAAGTGGTAATTTAGAACTATTGCTACCAGCTTTGGTTGTATCCAGAATGATAATTATGAAATAAGTGGTGAGCAGATGCTTAGAAATAAAAGTTTGCCTGGAACCGCCAGGAGTCTAAGGACAAAGCTAACAGTCCTTATAAACCATTAGCTTGAGGACAGAATTGTCAATACAGCCCCAGTCTACCAATTTGCTAAGCATCAATGGCCATTAGCCATGGCATACAAAAATAGATTATTTTAGGAAAATAAATTGCCCCTGACATGTAATTCCTTTTGTATTTCTTTCTCTGGATCTGTGCCTACTCTGAATATCTTAAAGCAACAACTCAAAATTAATTCACAAGAGAAAAATAAACAGGCTAGTAAAAATTGTATTATAAGCTCACAGCAAAAAAAAAAAATGTGCTTAAAATGGGATTTATTCTTTCTTATTGCTATTAGAATGGACACTTAATTTTCTCCCTAAAATGAAATGAAATTCTTAGAAAATTTATGGCTGCTGAGAGAGCAGTTTCTGACATGCCAAGCAATGCTAGCAAAGTTGGGAATAAATCATCAAGGAAATCTTACTGGTACTACACTGCAGTTCCTGCAAGATAATATTCAACTTTCTCCCCACACGAAGCATCCATCGGGAAACTATTTGCTAATGAGTTCACCGAATTCTGTGAAATAATATCTTTGAATCATAGACAATTAGTATTCCTTCTCTTTCTTTTGTGCTCTGATTAATCTTTTTGTATTTTCCCTTCTCCTCTTCCTCTTTCAATTGCTACTTCTCTAAAAATATCTTCCTTGTTCTAACACTGAAAGGTTTGCTCTGCTACCCTCAGGCCCTCAGCTTCCGTCCCTTCTCAGTTACTTTCGTGGAGGTCCTCTAGGTGGTAATGACAAGTGTCACAGACTGTAGATGTGGCATACATAGAATGGCATTCATTTAAAATGAGAACAATGGTTGGTAGTCTTCCCACAAATAGACATAAATTTCTACTGGTTTTCCTTGAATGCATTTTGAGATTGTGATCCAAACAAATTGAAAAACATTTGGCTAACAATTATGAAATTTAAAAGTTTTGAGAGGAAAGATACCCTTTGTCATTTTGTGGCTTCTAATAAATATTTACCACTGCTAGGAAAGACATTTCTGGCAAATCAATTATGAGGCATATATGTACAGATATATTGACTATATTTATACACTAAGAAGTTTTGTATAAATATAAACTTTATATATTTATGTAAAATGTCTTAGTCAATTAGAGTAAAATTTTATTATGATTTAAGAACATAAGGTAATAATAAATAATATTTTTGTGTGCCTACCAAATGTCAGAGACTTTACATTTTTTATTTAACACACACACCACCCGGTGACAGTTACTGCTATCTCTGTTACAGCGATGAGCTCAGTCTCATAGAAATTATGTCACTTGTCCAATTCCACTGTCCTGCTAAGCTTTTCACAGCCTCAAACGTAAAATCAATTTTATTTGTTCCCCATGATTCAATGACACATTTGGCTAATTTGAAGAACAGGAATTTATTTTAATAGAACATAGTCCATTTATACGGGGAAATATTTTATAACCGACTTTTACTATATTTACAATTTACTTCCAAAATTCTTACCAGTAAATGATTCTGGGTTTGATATTTTTAAATCATAAGATTGAAATATATACTTCTTCCTCTGTGATGTTTAAACTTCTCTCTTATTGCAGAGTTCATGCATTTCAGGGGAGGCCAAACTTCCCTTAGCAGGAGGTTCTGCCAAAGATCCTTTGCTAACACGTGTTCTGCTGAATCCAAGGGGCACAGAAATAGAAAGACTTTCCTCAGCCATCAGTAGCAATTCTGACTGTGAAGGAACATGATGAGGAAAAAAACATAACTGAGTGCCTAATAGCTTGCCCTTTGGAAGGAAAATGGCAGGTGTTTTTGCTCCAGGAATTCAACTTGCCACAGGACAGTCATGTGGAAATGAAATCAAGTTAATTATCTCTTTCTAAGAAAATGTAGTTCTGGACATTCAAGTTAAACATTAGGACTTAGAGAAATCAATTTTTTAAACTGCCTACCTCAGAGAATTATTGCAGACCAGGAGCAGAGTATTGAAAATATTCAGGAGTAAAGTTGTTTAAGCAGAAACAGGGCCCTTGTGCTCACACGGGATATGTGAATCACTTGCAAGAAGATTCCATTATCAACTTGATTTTTTCATACTCAGGAAAAAAATGTCAACAAGGCACAGACAGTTGGTGATGATTCAGATGGTTAAATTCAATCAAGGGAGGCACGAAGTGTTGTTTTCTTCAGGAGAACACTGAACCCTGAACACAACAGACCTTGCTTTATTAATTTTAGCATCATTAGAGTAGAGCACAGAACCAAATGAAATAGCCATAGTAAATGCTTCTTTAAACATAAAATTACATATGGTAATTTGTACCTTCTATATGGTATTATAATATTAAATGTTATAATAAATATAATATTAAATATTACATTAATATTAAATGTAATTAATACCTTCTATATGGTATTATAATATTAAATATATAATACTTATTATAACTTTATATGCATTTAGTAATAATTTTTACAACTCTGAAATATGTACTATTTTTATCCCCCATTTTATTGATAGTAAAACTGAGACACTTGTGAGTTTAATTTTCCCAAAGTCACATTGCTAATGACGAGTTCAGCCAGGAACTGAACCCAGGATTCTCTTGCCCCAGAATACATGCTCCTAACCATCTTGCTATACCTGTCCCTCATAAAGTCCCATAATAGAGTATTTTCCTAAGTGCAAGGTACTATATACTTGGTCATGCATGTCAGTTGTCATTTTCCTTATTATACTGTGAGCATTTTTTATAAATTATTTAATTTTTACTTTTAATAGATAAACAATAGCTATACATATTTATGGACAACTTTTATGGTATTTTGACATGAGCATACAATATATAATGATCAATCTGGATAATTTCAATATCTATCATCTCAAATATTTATTTCTTTGTGTTGGGAACATTTCAGATCTTCTCTTCTGACTCATTTGGAATATACAATAAATTGTTGTATATAGTTGCTCTATTGTACTATCAAACACTAGAATGTATTCCTTCTATCTATCTTTTTGTACCCATTAACCAACCCCTCTTTATTCTCCCCTCCCCACTACCCTTCTTGCCTCTACTAGCCACCATTCTACTCACTACCTCCATGAGATCAATCCTTTAGCTCCCACATATGTGTAAGAACATGCAAGAGTTGTCTTTCTGTGCCTGGCTTATTTCACATAATGTCTTCCAGTTCCATCCATGTTGCTGCAAATGACAGGATTTAATTTGGGAGATGAATGATATTCCATTGTGTATACATATATCACATTTTCTTTATCCATCCATCTATTGATGTACACATGGGAGTGCAGATATGTCTCTTTAATAAACTTATTTTCTCTCTTTTGGATATATACAAGGCAAGTGAGATTGCTGGATCATATGGCAATTCTATTTTGTAGGGTTTTTGAGAAACCTCCATACTGTTTTCCATAATGGCTGTACCAACAGTGCTCGAGTGTTCCCCTTTTTCTGCATTCTCACCAGCATTTGCTATTTTCTGTCTTTTTGACAACAGCCATTTTAACTGGCTAATCATTGGTGAAATACAAATCAAAACCACATTGAGATATCATCTCACCTCAGTTAAAATAGGCTGTAAACTCTTGAACTCTTTCAGAAAGGATCAGAGGACTGTTTACCTTTGAATCCAATTGAGCAAATCTTTGAACATGCTGGGTTGTTTCTGGTTGAAAGAAAAATCAAAACAAATTCCTTACCTCAGAGGGAAGGATAACTGTGGTGGAAATCTTCAGAGATAACACAGAGGTATGGGTAATAATTATGCTCAGATTCTCTGGAGTCTCAGAGACAAAGGCATTAGTTCATTCAAATGCTTTATGACTAAAATCCCCTAAGAAAGGAGAAGTAGGGGCAGTACCCAACGTATGACCCAGACCACAGCAGGGAATGCTGAGCTCTCTGGAGAAAGCCTGGAGCACAACAAAGGAGTGTAGTTTTCTCAGTGTCAGTCGTAATGTGGCAACACTCCAAAGAGTATGTTTAGAGAAGCAATGAATAGCCACCAGCTCAGAAATTTCTGCTACTGGTAATATACAGACGGAATCTTTTCCTGTTTGGGTGTTTTTCATCTTCTGCCATCACCAGATTAGTTTATCAGATTAGTCAGTTGGCACCTGTGGAATAACATGCAAGAAAGGAAGATTTTAGCAAGTAAGTGAAGGAGGAAAACCAAAACATAAATGGCATGAGAATAATGGCTTTCCGATATCAATGATTCGGATGGTGGGAGGCCTCTGGTGATGGGGAACATGAAGAGACATCTAGCCATTACTTGTACTTGGAAGTGTGAGCTATGAAGATTTTTTTTTTTTTGGTGATATATATAGTGGATAAAATATTTTACTAAGTATACAAAGATCTAACATTTTTGCAAACTATGTAGCAATGAACAAGTGGCTTTGCTTCTTTGGGTCTCAGTTTCCTCATCTGTAAAATGGGAGTAGACTGGACTAGATGATTTCTATGGCTCCTTCCAGCTCTAACATGCTGGAGGATCAAGGATCAACAGCAAGTTCATCAAAGCCAAAGCCAGCTTTAACCACTCACCAGTCCAGCTAGAGTTTGCAGGGCCTGAGAAGGTAGAAGGCTTGATGCAGTTCTCACCCTGTCCAGCATCCACTTTGACATCCTTCAAAAGTCATGGAGTTGCTGTTCTAACATCTTCAAAAGCTACCCAGAGCCAAAGTGTCTGAAGTAATCAAAAAATTAAATTAAAAAATCATTGAAAAATCTTCTCAAAGGAGGAATTTAAAAAGGATAAAGGAAGTAAGCCACGCACAGAAAGACAAATCTCACATGTTCTCACTCATATGTGGGAGCTAAATATTAAAACGATCGATCCTATATGGAGACCGAGAGGAGAATGATGGTCACCAGAGGCTGAGAAGGGTAGCAGGGTAGGGGGCATAAAGTGTGGATGATTAGTAAGCAAAAAAATATAGTTAGATAGTTACATAGAGTGGACAATATTCGATAGCACAACAGAGGGACTGTAATCAACAATAAGTTAGGGTATACTTTAAAATAACTAAAAAAGCAGAATTGGAATGTTCCTAACACAAAGAAATGATAAATGCTTGAGGTGATGGATACCTCAATTACCCTGATTTAATTAATTCATATTGTATGCCTGTATCAAAATGTCAGATGTACCCTAAAAAATATAGAACTATGATGTACCCATAACAATTAAAAATCAATTTTTAAAAAAAAAAGGATAAAGGAATCATGAATGGTAATGCTCACTTTAGACATCCCTTCAACTATTAAAAATAAAACATTGCAAAACCAAAATAAGAAAGCTCTGAATTGTACAGTTATCTGTCATTCTGAAGTTTGGGACCATGTCAAATATGCAAACCCAGTGAAAAATTATGTTATGGGTTCTCTAAGGGTCCAAAGTTTTCTCAATTCAAGCCCATCTTATATTCCAAAACAGAAATAAATCTGAGACCAAAAAAAGTCAGATGCACAGAAGGAATCTAGACTCATAGTCTGTTTATTTACAAATACACACTTCTCCTACACCATATGGTTTGAACAAAGACATCACAATGGGAAAACAACAGCAGGTCTCAGGCCCAACTGCCATAGAGATAGCTCGGTTTCCAGGTCTGGACTGTTCTCAGAGAAATATCTACTCACAGTCTGTTCAATCACAGGCACTTTTGTTTTAAAAATTTACCTACAGAACTCCACTTTCTCTCTTTCCCCCACAGGGGAATTAAACTAACCCTTTACATACCAGGTTTAAAGAATGACTCTTCTCTATTCCAGTGTCCTTCCTTTCAAGCCTAATATTTTGTCTGGCTATTCAAATATTGCTTTAAATGACATATGATCAAGGCTAATAAAATTGCATGATAACATGAGTGGTTTGTCTTCAGCCACATTGTGTCTCATGTTTCTGATGCCTCCACACTCCCTCCTCTTAGTTCCCTGTGCCCTTCACCTGCCTCCCAGCTGCTCCAGGCTCCCTTGTTAAGTCTCCTCTTATTCTATTTCCTTCCTTACCACTGCTGATAGTCAACTTCTTCTTCCCTATCATACTCTAGTCCACACTCACTTTCAAAAATATCTCTCTATGATCTAAACATCTAATCTGTGAATTACTTGGGCCTAATGAAGATGTCACCTAGAAAACGTATATTTAGGGGGATAGCATGAGATAACAGCTAGGAAATGTTTTTGGAATCAATTGATATAAGTTTAAGCCCCTGTTTCATAATATGATAACTTTTCTTCCACTGGGTATATATGTTATTCTTCCCTTGTAAAATACAATCATTTCAGATTTATTATTGAGTGTTTACTATTTCAAATACTGTATAAAGCATTTATATGCATCATATCTTTTAATCCTCACAATTATCCTATGAACTATGCATTACTCACACTTTATTCATTATTCAACCTCACTTCAAAATAAGAAAATTGAATCTTATAGAGATTAATAAACTTGACTAGATTTATCTGAATCCAGCACCAAATCTCACCTTGCAAGTTTTTCATAAGAGTCAAATAAGTTGGTGTAGGTAAGGATGAAGTGCTACATAAATGCAAACCATTGTCCTATCAAAGACTTCAAATTAATGAAAATAGAAAGTTGAAGTATAATATAGGGCCTGGCTTGTGTGCTTGTCTTTGGGTCCCCCCAAATCAATCCCTGACCATGCCAGGGAGAAGAGTGCTTGTCCTGAGTTGCCTAAGCAGTGTTCAAGCAGGTCTGATGATCCTCTCGGTGTGCCTCTCTCCTGCTGTCTTCACCTCTTCCCAGCAGTGTGAATTGTGTTGGGTCCCCCAGCTTAATCTCCAATATGGGGGGTTGTACTTGTGCATATGAATCAGCCACGCCTCGTTTGCTTGAGTCGGGTGATGCTATGAGGAGCTGTACAATTGTTCTCTCTGTCACTGATTGAGGTTTGTATGAAAGAGCCAACTGCTGAGAAGTCCTTTTGTGTCCATGGCAGACTCTTGTTCCTCAGGTGGAGTACTTGAGTGCCCCAAGCTTTAGGAGAGATCCTGCAGCTCTCAGGGGGTTGCTTGATCTCCTCCACCACTGAAGTGGAGGAGGAGCAAGGCGGTTCATGGATAGGTTGTGGGAGCCTGAAAGGCTTGGCAAAGCCTCTGCAGGGCTCAGAAGTTGCTTTTCCAGCCACTAAGGGGAGCCGCTGGTATGAGGGTTGGGACAAGTTCTCCAAACTGGGAGGCTCTTCGTGGGGGAGGGGCCAAAATGCTTGAGGGCTAAGGCCCTGGGCTGGGATCTTTCTGTCTTTATTCAATAGCCCAGTTTTTCTGCTGGGAGGGGTGGGCACTCCCCAAATCACCATTCCTGGGACCCCCACAGCACACACCCATCAGTTCAATCCATGTGTGCTCGTGCTCCCTCTGCTCCCAAGTCCAGCTCTCAAACCACCCCCGAAGCCCCTTTTCTGTGTCTGACCCACTAGCATGCATCTCTATGAAACACCAGCAGGCGTAGGGAGTTCCAAAATTGTTCACCCCTGTTCCGCTACCACGTCTGGGAGGAAAATGTTGGGCCCCACTATCTGTGGGAACCTCTGCATGTAGCACATGCCCACCAGAGAGAAACGGCGCCTGACTACCTCTGGGCTCAAGCTGCTCACTTGATTGTAATGAGCGTGGGGAAGGGCCACAGCACCCGTCAGCTGGCACACCTGAATGCGAGCCATTCATTGCCATGGAACCTGGGGATACAATGACTTCCCACCGTTGCTAGTTGCTGGTGACTCACCATCCCTTGTTTGTTTACTTAAATGATGAACAAATGATGATAAAGTAAGTTCCTTGATTAACATCTCTTCTTTTGAATCATCTAAGGCAGGGGGCCCCACCGCATGGTGAGTTGTATAATTATTTCATTATATATTACAATGTAATAATAGTAGAATATAAAGTGCACAATAAATGTAATGTGCTTGAAACCTGAAATCCTGAAACCATACCCCTGCGCCACACCCCTGGTCCGTGGAAAAGTTGTCTTCCATGAAAACCATCCGTGGTGCCAAAAAGATTGGGGACCTCTGATAGGGTGAATCTGCTTTCCTGCCAGGACAGTATCCAATGGTCTTTTCTTTGGAATGCTTCACTTTCCCCAGAAAAAGAATCCTCTAATATTTTTCCAGGGCATGGAGAAGCATATGATGCAAGCACCACTGGGGTGGGGGTTCAAGTTTCCATATGTAGTCTTTATTGGCATGTTATCACTATTTTATTGCAGTAGCTCTAGCATGTCCTCTGCAGTTCTGATGTCCCTTGTGTTTTTGAGATTTACTCTCCACAAAGTAATTTCCAGCTTCTTGGTGGGGTTGGGCTATAGGGCATGCAGGAAAAGATCACCAGGTTGAATTGTCCCTCCATGAAGCTTTTAGACAGTTATTTTTGTTTTCAACTCCATGTCTCACCCCAACCTTCTGCAGTATGGGTGCCTCTAATTCCTGAATCTTTCTCAAGTGACATGGTATGACTTGACCTGCTTCTTAGTGGCACACTTCTCTAATGGCTCCTGTTTTCTCAGACCTGCTCATTCCCTACATCCATTTTCCATCTTTTAAAAATTTTTGATGTCTCCGATCTGCTATTGTTACACTGCTGATTCTCCTTATATTTTGGTGTTTAGACCCTATTTATACTTTTCTTCCAATTTTACTATCATTTTAGTGGAGTAAAAACAAAAAAATGTTCTTATTTCACCACAAAACTGTCAATTTTTCCCATTACCTTTAAACAAGTATAGATCCTGGTACTGAGAACATCCATTATTGCTGAGAGGCGAGGAGGGGGTAGGACAGGATAAGAGCAAAGTCACTGCTCATAAGACCCAAGGGAAGATCTGAGAGCAGGAAACCAAAGCAGAGGGGAAAAACCAAAAGGAAAAATAGAGACTTTTATGAAGTTGACCAAGTCTTTCATAGTCTATAACCTCTGCATTGTGTCCTCCACAAAGCCTTCAAACAACAGTATAAAACTTCTTTCATTCACTTATGCTTTCTGTCACAGGTAGGCTTTAAGGGAAAAGTGCTGTATCCCATTATGAGTTAATGCCACACATGAAGACAAGCAGTATTTGGGGTCTGCTGCTTCTTATTTTCCTTTCTTCACCTCTCTTTCCTTCCTTTCTTCCATTTAACAAATATTAAATACTATCTACTTGGGCATTATACTAGATACTATGGATTGTAAATAGCCATTTTCAATAAATTGATGGTGTACTTGGAAGCCCCGAGAAGTGCACTGCTGTTATGGTAAAGTAAGGAAAGTGTCCCCCTGAGTCAGAGCTACAAGTGTGTCCATCCCCCAGACGGTGCACACCGCACCCATTAGGTGTAAATGTAAATACCCATCTCCTCTTCCCCCCTCCTGCCTGCCCAACACCAGATGAATGTTACTACTATATGTGCACTTAAGTGTTGATCAAGTAATGCCAATTTGATGGTGAGTAGATGTGGTGCTTGTTTTACCCTTCTTGTGATACTTCGCTTAGTAGAGATCTTAAATTGCACACAAATGATTTTGGAGAGTTGATAATCAAGAGCAAAGAGAAAAACCAGACTGAAGTAATGGAGCCAATAAATAATAGTTGCTTAAATGAAGATTTTAGAGGCTAGACATTTCTAGCTAAAACTCAAATTTAAGTGAGTACCTAATGCTTTTCTAATGTTCACAATTTGAGGGGTCCGGAGGAACCTTACAAGCTCCAGGGGAAAATGTAATCCTCGTGCCAGAACTGAGGCTGCTGCTGGTGCTGCTGCTGGGTCCATTTGAAAGAATGTATGGAAATTGCACTGGGTCCCTCTCTGAACATTCCAGGAAACACAACTTCTGGATGGCCCAGTACCCCATGTGGGAGCATGCTTAGAAGTATTAGAAAATATGACCAAATGTGTGGCCCTGTAACTGCATATGAAATGTAGATGAATAGGCAAATACATAGAGATGGAAAGTAAAATTGTGGTTTCTAGGGACTTGAGGGGCTAGGGAGTGATTGCTATTGAGTATAGAGTTCCTTTTTGAGGTGATGAAAGTGTTCTGGAATTCAATAGTGATAATGGTTGCATGACCTTGTGAATATGTTTTAAAACACTGAATTGTATTCTTTAAAAGAGTGAACGTTACAGTATGTGAGTTATATCTGTCTCAATTAACAAAAAAAATAGAAAAGAGGAAACTGTAGCCAAGTCCCAAGGCCCAAGTGCCACCAAGATTATGTGAGACATCTCCTTGTCCTAGGACCTTTGGACCATAGCAGTGTCCTCTGAGCTGGGCTCTACTCTCACTAGGAACCTTCTGTCTTGGCCAGTAGAAGCTTTGTTTATGATAGTGGACTTTACCATACTCCTGGTCATCTACATCTTCTCTTATTTTTATGGGGAGCCTATTACCCAAAGGACCAAAATAGAAGAGAAAAGAAGAGGAGACAGTCATTCTAACCAGCCCAGATGAAAAGTGTCTACAGCTTCTATCTAACATATGGCTATTTTCTATAGGACACTGAAACTTAGTTCATTGAAGAAACAAGTACACACACAAACACACACTAAATATCTATTTACCAAAGAACTGCAATATCTATCTCCTTCATCTTCATTATGTTTGAAACCTGATAGACTTTTTGATTATATTATAATATAATAATGATATATTGAGTCATTTTAATAAAACCAAAATGAATTTTTCTTACCAAAAGTTAGATACTGCATGTCTTTGGCTAGTATAAGTCAATAAGATATGGGGTTCACCACTAGTACCTTATGATCTTGGACAAGTTGTTTGGAAGATGAGCCTTCATTTCCTCAGCTCTATGTGAAGATAAAATGGATTAAATGCCATAAAACATACAAAGCATCTGGCACCATTTGGCAAGATGTTTTCAATGATCATTCCCTCTGTTCCCTGTTATGACAAAGAAAGATATAATTCTCTAGTCTTTTTTTCCTGCTCTGTTCTTTCTCTCAACATTTCTTTGAAAAAATCTAGTATATTTGAATTTTTTACCAAAAAGGAGGTACAGAAATTTAAGATCCTATAAGACACTTTGAATGTCTTCTTTTAAAAGAAGAAAATGATCTACCATATCTTAAATTTTAGTTGTTTCTATGAGTCATGTAAGCATAAAATAGGGGAAGGTTCTGGAAGCTCAGTGATTTTCCACTGCTTAGGCATGATAATGTAGCTGATAGGCCACTCTGGCCCTTTCATCATCGCTGTCATCCAAGCCATGTTCAGTTAGCACATCATTTGCATGTTGGCAATACAGTTACTTTAATATGCAGGCATAAAAAAACCCCAGACATAACCCAAACAGGAAAATAGAACACCTTTTTAATAACTGATGCGTTAAATGAGGAACAGTTTTCTTTCATGAGAATATATTGCTTGACCTTCTGCAGAGACAAGTTACTTGGATTTAATTTTGAGGAACCAATTACTTTTTTTTCTAGCCAGAGATGGTTTGATTTGATTGAAGTCTGGTTAGGATGCAAAGAGGCTATTAAAATATTTTTAGCATTTTTTTCTAAACAGTGATGCATTAATTGCTTGTGAATATTAATCCCTCAAACCTCCTACTCTATTAGGCTCAAACCAGAATTGTAAAATTATGATGTTTTATTGATGTAATTAATAACAAATGTTACTCATTAACTCAGCTCTCACCAAATTGGACATCTGACAAATGTACTCAGGGCCTTGCCCCAGTGAATTTAATATAGATATGAGGCAGCATATCGACTTCAAAAGATGAAATCAACAACATTACTGTGGAAATAAAAAAATAGAGAAAGCCTTTTACCAAGTTTAGGAAAAGTAAAAAATAATGATTTTTAAAACTAATTCTTTTTAGGTTTCTCTGAACACCATGCTCAATTTAAGACATCTGTTCAATATATAACATCAATTGAAATGTAAAAAGATAGCTTAAAATACCAGAAGCAAGAAGAACACTACAAAAAGCAATAATAATATGCAACATGCAGAGATTAGATCATGGAAAAAAATAAATAACCCACCACTTTGCTCTGCTTTTCATTCTACAACCAAGAAAATATAGCTCCTATTTAATCAGAAAATCAGAGGAATAACAGCAATGACAACCTTCTGCCCTATTATAATTCTGCAAATTATAACCTTGAAAATTGTACTCAGATGTGTATCAACTGATCTCATTGCAAAAAGTCACAGGGAATTAGATTCACAAATGTCCTCAAAGGGCCCAGAATAAGATTTTAAATCAGGCTATATTAATTTGGAATTTGTCTATGGTCTGAATTAATGTTTACCTTTATGTTACTTGAAACAAAACATCAGAATGTAGTGAGGATTTTTCTTTTGTTTAAAGACATAAACTATTTTCCAGCTTTAAGCAATAACCTTTACTGTGTTAATCCCTGACCATATGAACAGGTGGGGAGGGGATGACAGCAAAGGGAGGAGAGTGAAACAGTTGAACTTTGGTGTCAACTTGACCAGACACAATCGCTAGGTAGCTAGAGAAGTGATTGGGTTCCACGAAGCCTGGGTGCGGTGCTGTCTGATCAAATTTTACAGTTCAGGACCCGAAGCCAATAGGTTGTTACTTGTGCAAAATCCCATGGCCTGTTAATTGTAGAGCTGGGAATCGGTCTAAGTCTCCTACCTCTACATCCCAACTTTTCCCAGTAAGCTACCTTCAGAAAGACAGTGAAAGATGCTCGTATGGTACCTGATCCACAAAACGCCTTTATGATTAACATTTTAACAAGAAAATTGGGAGCTGGCCAGATGGCTCAGGGTTCCCACGCCACTCCTTTTGGTGTTCCTCTACTGAGGCTTTGCTTTTCTCCCCTCAGGGCCCCTAGGATACACGAGTGTGAGCTGAGGTCTCAACAGGCAGAAATTGAAGATGCCCCGTTTTCCCTCACATTTAAAGCTTACCAGGTACCTATACATACCATCGTGTTATTCACTATGTGGGGATTCAAAGAAATAGAATACGAACCTTGTAACAAAATGCTTGTAGGGTGGCTAGAAGACAAGGGCAGGACCATCCTTGCTTTCATTCCCCAAAAATCAATATAATGAGAATTTCAGGCAACCCTGGAGGAAAGTTGGAAGAGATATTTTTTGGTCAAGAAGACTTTTAGAGGTTCTACATATTAAATCACACAAGGAGGGGGTCAATTTTACCCATGCATAAAGATATGCATATGTATGTAGATGTGAAAACATTACCCCATTCATTTTTCTCCTTTTTTTAGTACTTTCATATCTCATGTCTTACTGCCCATCTAGGGTTTCCAGCTGCCTAAGCCCTCCCTTAACTGTGAATGCCAATTCATGCTCAACATCTTTTGTTGTCTTTTCTTTTCTTCCAAAATTTACCAGTCCTATTTCTCCATTCTTAGTACTCTGCTCTCTCCTGGGAAAATTCAAACTTAAGTGCTTACTTTACCAGACAAAAATTATGCTTTAAATGGTTATAGGAAGTTGCTGTTAGTGGCAATATTAGACATCAAGGTTAGCTGTGTAGTTTTTTTAAGTTCACAAAAACTTCCAAAGGAGTATTTATTGTGTGTTCTTACTCAAACCATATTGTAGAACAATGGCTCCTAGACCTATCTTAGAAAAACTTTTATTAATTTTAGTGTAAGTTAAAAGATGATGACTATAATCAATATTTTAACCAGGCAACTAATTCTAATTGTTCAAATTTCTTTTTGTTTGTTTGCTTATGTTAAAAAAAAGAGAGAGACTTGAGCAACTATGCCCATTTAGTTAAAAACATTTCATTACAGATACTTCAAGTGTTTTAATATAATACCTATGACTCGTTTTGTTCAGTTAAAAAGAAATTTACTTTGGCTTTCTCTTCAAGTTTTCACTGTATTTTTTAATTACTAATCCTTAGTGAATATTGAAAACAGAGTTCTATGTTTTGGAGGTCCCAGTATACCTGCACTAATATAAAACAGACAAATGGAGTCTTGTAAGTAAATCCTATCTAAGGGAAAAAGTGAAAAAATAGAAGACTAAGCTAGGGTTGCCATTTAAATTGCATATATCAAAATTTTAATATTTAGGCCCCAATATGTAGTTGTTAAGCTCTTTGCTTGTGTAATCAATCTCAATTCACCTCTATAAACTTGCATAAGTGTTTCAGATTCAAAATTAGGTACAGTTATGAACACTGGTAAGGAGTAAGAGCTAACTATAATCAGCATAAATATAATTGGATTTGACATCTCCTTAAGAAATAACCCTCCAAGGAAAAAATATGTAAATAGATTGTTCAGACAACTCTATTACCTAAATCTTAACAGGCAACTTCTGGTGTCTTGTAAAATAAATAAAGCATTTTGAAATATAATTTTTGGGAGAACTATAATCTTAGAAAATATTACATCTTTTATGAGAAAGTACAGTACCATAGGACTAAAGTTTATGGTAACTAAGTCATTCTAAATATTCTAAATATCCAAAGATGAAATATTAAAAACTTCACCTGTGTGTTTCCATCACTAAGGTGCTGATTAATACTCATCTAGAAATGAAGTCCTATAGCATAGATGGATGATAATACTCTTCAATTTTAACCATTATTTTAACTGTCTCAGGAGACTGTGTGACTCCCTGCTTTATAGCATTATGGTTGCCATAATGAATGATGCATAAGTGGTCTTCTAATATTGGCTTGATTTTGTAAAGAAACTTTCTTATAGGAAACACAATTTATGGACCAGCTCTGGTGAGATTCTAGTTGATTTCTTAGTTATTTTTTGCTATAAAAATTGGCATTCTTATATATATATATATATAACTAAATTCCTTCAGGTGACTCGGTATCCAAGAATTTACTAATCTTGACTAAAATGGGAAAATTGGGTGTCTGCATCTGCACATGGCAGGGCAAGTGATGACTCCATCCAGAGGCAGACACTCTTTGAGACTCAGGCTCTGACAAGCAGCTGTTTCCTCATTACTTCAGTAAACATCAATTTTTTTTTTTTTTTATTTTGGCATATTATGGGGGTACAGATTTTAAGGTTTCAATAAATGCCCATTCCCCCCCTCCCCCCAAAAGTCTGAGTCTCCATCATGACTATCCCCCAGATGGTGCACATCTCACTCACTATGTAAGTAAACATCAATTTTTAAGACCAATCATCACTACTTTCATCTTTTTTACATGCATATTTAGGAATAATTTCTATTGTCTTGGTCTCACTTTAGAAAGGATAAATTACCCACACACTTACATTGATGTTTTAAGAAAGCAAATTTGTAGCCCACGCAATTTGAATAATACATGCCAGCCCTCATGTTAGGAGCAAAAATGGACTGAAATCAATAGATGGGAGTAACTCCAAAAACATTATGGGGCACTCATGTCTGTAACAATAAGGATTCTCTGTAGGACAAAGCGATACCAACTGTCACAACACAAATATTGGGGACATTTGTGGCAGCAAAGCCCAGGCCAGACCTGCTGGGCAAGCAGAATGTGCTCAATTTGTAACCTGCTACATACAACTACCAAAACCTGTGGCTAGTGCCTTTTTAAAAATTATAGAATTTTGGAGCCACATAATTAATATCTATTTTTAACTATATTTAAATAGTTAACTATAAGTTAACTATTTTAATTTATTTTATTTAATTATAATTAATAACTATTTTAGTAGTTAGCTAAGCCAAATGCTTACTATTTCCAATGAGAAAACTTTTGCCAGAGGTTTCAGGATTTGCCTTTCATCACTCCTAGGAGTAAGCTGGGACTTTCTGTCTGTCTAGAACTTTCTATAGCCCCACCCTTATACCCATTTTAATTTTCACTGAGGCACAAAACTCATGCCTTTCAGTCCTTACTATAGCTCCATCCCTTAGAAGCACTATATTGACCAGAGGTAAATAATTGTTTTATGTAGATCTAATTAACCTTATATTGACTAGTCTTGGTCCCAAACTTTATTCCCCCAAATCAGTCTAATATGAGCAGTTGAATCTGTTCAGTGTGATTGTTTCAGGGATACATACAGCTATCTGCTTAGAGTAGGAGATGAGGAGCCACCACTCTGCTGAGCAGAAAGTTTCAACTGTTAGAAAAAAGTGGAAATGAACTAAACCCTCCCAGCTAACAAGACAAAGAAATCACCTAAAGGAAAGATAGTTGGACACCAGATTGACAGCTATTCTATCTTTACTTTTAAGTTAAAAAAAAAAGTTTCTAAAGAATTGCTATCCTGAGACAAAGTGAACATTGTTTTTTTCATTTTAAATTGTCCCAAATTGTATTCAAAGAAGGTTTTTTTCCACAATAGATAAACATGTACTTAAGAATGACTCATCTAACATGTGGCCCACCATAGGTAAAAATAATATAGGAAGAATACGTCTTCAAAATTTTTCTTTTAATATCTTTTAAGTAAATTAAGTACAGAATTGCATCATAGACTTTCAGTTTCATTTGGGAAATGATTTGTTTACTATCTCAGCTTCCATAAAAGCAATTTAATTAACCCATTCTAGTTATCCAAAATACAGCATGAAAATGTGAGTGAGCAGATGGCTCAGGGCCATCTTGCAGGGACAAGTCAGCACATAGGTCATAGGAGGATGTCATTAACATCATCTAATATAAAGAAGAACATATTTATCTCAGGGTAAACTAATGTCTAAGGTTTAATGGTACTAGGCAGTCCTGAAGTCACTACTAAGATTTCAAGACCCTCCCTGGAATTAATGCATGACTTTTCTTGGTATCTCATCTGCTTATTCATAAAACATTTTTTGATCAACTATCTGCCAAGTACTGTGTTAGGGGCTAAGAATACAAAGTCAAATGAGACAAGAGTGCCTCCCATAAAGATCATAGGCTAATCCAAAGGATCCCTATTTAGCCCAAACATATCAGTGTTTTTGAAAGCTAGTTCCATTCTGATTGGTCAATACCTGTGCCCTACTCCTTTTTAAATATTTTCAATATCCTCTACTTTGTTCCTGGTTGCAATTGTAAATTCTAGAAACGTGGAAGAACTTAATAAACATGGCACTCAGTGAGTTTTAACAGAGGTACACCCAGGGTGACTTGGGGGAATCCTGCAGGGTGTGGTGAACGTCACATGATGGCATTTGAGACACCTTCACAGAGAGAAAAGACGTGGGAGCTGAGTCTTAAAGAATGAGGTTTGGGGATAAAGGAGGGGATGGGGAAAGGCACTTGCAGGGGTAGAAAAAGTCTGGGCATTCCCAGAATTATCAGGGCATATTCTTTATTACTGAATAATATTTGAAAGCAGCTTAAGATATGTAATTCAATATAGCAACTTCAGTTACCTTTCATATTTTCCCCAAATATTCAAGGATATCTGGGAGCATTGTTTTAAAAAAATTGAAAGGTAAGAAAGGATAAAGTAACCAGAAAATAGGAAAGACTGCAGCTCCAAAAATGAATAAAGAGAAGTTTAGATGAACCCTCCTCTACTTCCCCTTCCTTTTGACAGTCACTGAGTTCTGGACTGAGGCTGTTCAGGAGGAACTGTGGGGAGGATGTCTTTTGGCTGCCTGCCATCCTCTGAACTGGGAATGATAAACCACTAAAGTACAATAATAATGGTAAATTATTCTGTCTTGTTCCAAATGATTTGAATATTATTTGGAGAGCTTTCAAATGCTTTTGAATTAAGGGAATGATTGCAACCCTAAATTTTAGGAACGTGAGAAAACTGTAAATTATCCTATTAAATTTGAGATACTTTCATTCTTAAGACCTATTATTTTACAAATCCTTTCACATTTCAAGGTCTAAATAGACTTTTTAAATGTTTTTAGAGCCCTAACTTCTTTGTTTTGAAAGAAATTAACATGGACTCTTACTTAAATGGATAAATTAAATATATATTAAAATATCCAACAGAGAATGTTGCACATTAGCTTGTTAGTTGAGTTATAATTTATGAGTAAAAAACTTAGAGTTTATGAATGATACCAGATGGAAAACCAAAAGGATCCTTGTTTGCCCTGTTTTGACTGGCTAGCCAGTGGGTGGGGAAGCTTTGCTGTGCACCATGCCTCAACCCTGACCTCCAGAGGCCGTTCTAAGAATGACAGAGGTGTTCTACCATTTAACAGCTCCCTGAACTTCATTAAAGCTCTCAAATTTGTCCACGTGCTTTATTCTTTCCTTTCTTTCTTTCTTTCTTTCTTTCTTTCTTTCTTTCTTTCTTTCTTTCTTTCTTTCTTTTTTAGACTCTCACTCTGTTGCCCAGGCTAGAGTGCCATGGTGTCAGCCTAGCTCACAGCAACCTCAGACTCCTGGGCTCAAACAATCCTTCTGCCTCAGCCTCCCGAGTAGTTGGGACTACAGGCATGTGCCACCATGCCCAGCTAATTTTTTCTATATATTTCTAGCTGGCCAATTGATTTCTTTCTATTTATAGTAGAGACAGGGTCTCGCTCAGTCTCCAACTCCTGACCTTGAGCGATCCTCCCGCCTCAGCCTCCCAGAGTGCTAGGATTACAGGTGTGAGCCACCACACCCGGCCTATCCAGTGCTTTAGTTAATCTGTCCCAAATCACAGTAAACAAATGAGGAAATCATTCTGTTTTAATCCAGAGAGAACAATTCCAGACATCTCTCATTTTTAATGCAATCATTAATATTTTCCAACTGGCTGAAATTTCTGACCTATTCAAACACTGCTATTAATACTTTATGAACTCTTCTTTCTATTTCTTATGAAGAATGGTAATTCAACAACATTCTCTTTATTTGATTCTTGAGGATGATCAGAAAGATGGCTGTCAGTTTTCCTGAATTATCCTTTAATCTTTTTTCTACATGTCTCATTTTCTAATCTTTACTAATTTTTATGGGTCTGCTATAAGAC